TGGATGCATCCACTGCTCAGAATCACACAGAATCACACAGAATCGTAAGGGTTGGAAGGGACCTCAGGAGATCATCTAGTCCAACCCCCCTGCTGAAGCAGGCTCACCTAGAGCATGCTACACAGGACTTCATCCAGGCGGGCTTTGAATATCTCCAGAGAAGGAGACTCCACAACCTCCCTGGGCAGCCTGTTCCAGTGCTCTGCCACCCTCAGAGGGAAGAAGTTCTTCCTCATATTCAACTGAAACCTCTCGTGTTTCAGTTTGCATCCATTGCCCCTAGTCCTGTCGTTGGACACCACTGCAAACAGACTGCTTCCGTCCTCTCAATCCTACCCAGTCCCCACTGGAAAACAGCAGTGAGCTGGCTGGAAGCATCCCACAAACCAAACCAACTTGCTGGCAATTAGCCTGATCTGGATGCTTTCAACAGAGATTGAGCCCACCCATCAGTCACTGGACAGAAGAGGAAAGCCGTCTCCAGGGGCACAAATGGATTCTCAATTAACTCGCAGGAGGGAAGAGGTTACGTTTAAACCAACCAACCAAGGAACAAAAGCTCCAAGGAAGTTCAACCCGGATCAGACTCATACCCCCAGCCCATAAATACCTTATAGACTATCTGGTGATTAGGCATGTGCCACTGGCAAAGGAGTTGTAGTAGATGCTTCTAATGAAGCCAGACCACACGTAATAAAATCTTCAATGAAACGCTGTCATCTTACTGATGCTACAAAAGACTATTTACTGATTTAAATCCTAGAGATGCGAGCCTTATCTGACCAAAATACAAAGTACTACTGCTTCACTGCTATTTTGGAGAGCCAGCTTGATTTAATTTGCTTTTAAGTTTACTTGCCTGATAAAATAGGCATCACAGCAGTGCTGCTCTCAAGATACTTTTTGTAACGATTTATTTTCCATGAGAGAATCAGAGTGTGCCTACAGAAGCCTTTGCAAATTTAAAATCCTGTTTAATTTGGCTGCAGACAAAGTCCAATCTGAAAGAGGAAGCTCTAAATGAACACGCTTTGTTTACCAGCCATCAAAGTCCTGCACCAGCTTCAAAACAGACCTACTTAAAGAAATTCATCTGCTAGGAAAAGCAGAAGTCATATTGGGAGTCAACCACTGAATTCATGGAGAGCAGAGGCAGAATGAATTGTTCCAAGAATCTACTCCCAACTAAAGCACGAACATCAGATATTTATGTAGATAGCAGGCAACATGAGTAATGGGTCTGGAGCTCTCTGCTGCCCTCTGAAAATGCTGTGACACTCCTTAAAAAAAGGGGGCGGGGGAAAGGGAAGACCAAAGGGTTCTGTAATAACAGAATTGGAAATGGCACAGTATCATAGATTTAGGGCTGAATTCTGAAACTATGAGGTTCAAGTGAAGTTCACCACAGTGAACGACTGAAAAAGCCCTAGGCTCTGCTAGCACACACCACCTTCCAAATTAAAAGCCATGCTCTAACCTACCTGCTGTAAGGGAACAGAAACAAATGACCCGATCTCATTTCTCCAGATCGCAAAGCACATTTTCTGCCCTCTTGGCGTACGGAAGAGTTACAACAAGGTACTTCAGGGCAACGGCAGCTTATGCCTGTGTCTTAACTGATGAAAAGGCATTAAATTCCTCCCCGCAATACGGGTTCGCCTCACCACATTCACCGTGAGAAAAGCATGTGCGTTCACAGAAAACCAGCTGCAACGTGACAAGTCTAAACCTCCCGTTTACACTGTGGTAACTTATTCTGGATAGCTTTGAGACTTCATTTTTATCACTTTATCCCTTCGCCCGTCTCCTCCCCTGTCTCCCCAGGGACTGACATCCTGGCCATGCGATGTCTGATTTACAATCAAGGTTTTTCTGCTGCACAGCCCTAACAAAGGCTCCAGCCAATTTCTCTGGTTTTCCACAGAGTAGTCAACCCTCTGTATCAACAAACTATATGACTGGACCTTATATACAAGTGAAAATTTGGAACCAGAGTACTTTGTCCTCTAACAGTAATATATTAAAAAGGAACCAGTAAATCTGGCTTTCTGTTTATTTTTGGTCTTTGAACATCAGACTCAGCTCTGCTTATCTGCACGCAGGGCCACTGAAAGCAGCTGTATATACCCAGGCATACACAAGAACAGAATTAATAATCCAAAAAAAGCCCATACGTACAGGCAAGATGAAGTTAATCAACATTTTAAACATAAGAAAGTAGATAAAGGGGCCTGGTTCTTTTTATGAAAGACACCACCAAACCGGCGTCGTTCATTTAACCTTGAATTAGCAGACATTAAGAGTTTGTTACCAAAGTTGCCTTCTGCGCAAAATCCGCTCCGCGTGCAAAATAGTCCTGTATGATATTATCCACGAAATTATTTCTCAAGTTTCTAAAGAAAGCAAAGAGTCCAAGAGCCTTAATGGCCCTTATTTATCTATGTTAAAAGTCTGAATTACCCAATATATAACTATCGAATGAGCTTCAGTCACGGCCTTCCCCATTTTCTACCTAGGTTAAGGACACGGAGAAGGATGTCATCAGTTTAAGAGAAGACTTTGGGTTTCCCCATTTTCTACCTAGGTTAAGGACACGGAGGATGTCATCAGTTTAAGAGAAGACTTTGGGAGGAAGGGGGGGGAAAGCAGATTTATATGAAAAAACGTGCACACACACACAAACTATGCTAGAAAACGAAGTATTAGAACATCTCAAAAAGCAAAGCGCAATTAAAACACAGTTTCGCTAACGGCTTCTGGGCTGCATTTTAGCCTGCGAGCAAGCTGGCCAAATTCTTTTAGTATTGTAGATAAAATGGAATCTCAGCTAACATTTGGTCAATGCCTTCCTTTATTTTTCCCTTTTTTAAATCAAAGCATCTAGCTCTTCAGATTCATGAGGACAAATAAGACCTCCCCAGTGCAACTGAACCCAAAACAAAACCCTCTTCCAAAAACAATGAGCAGGTATTTATTTTCCTACTCATTGTTTATTGCTAGAGAACTTTAAAAGCTATTGCTGAAGCTTTCAGTTATCTTGGCTTTTCATTAAAGGGTATGGAGAATATCACCAGATTCATTGTGAAATCACCACTTTCTTTTAGACATGATATCCGTCTAAAAACAGATGCTTCTTCCAAAACCAACCAGTTTGAACTTTGTTGTGTTTGTTTCATCATGCAGGTGTCAGAGCTTCCACAAAGACACTCATAGCTATTTATCTTCAAACATTACAATACTGCGCTTAACCTTACTGCCTATTTTGGACTGCTATCGAATCCAACTTGCAGCACACAAAATAGCATAAAATAATCATTAAATAGTAAAGTCATAATGTTCTGATTAAGACACCAACCATGCACTATTCACACTGAGCTCTGCAACAGCTGAAGTTAAGCAACATCTCAAATGTGCTCCAAATCTCTTATTTCAGCTGTCTAAAGGCAGCACTTGGTGGCTAATTTTTTAATATACACAGGCTTAAGTGCCCGATTGAGATTACCACAAACAGTCTCATAGCGTCTCCGGTTCTTGCACCACCACACTCTGCAGACAAAGCTCAGCAGTTCAGTGTTGCTCAACGCTGCTCATTTTTTCCTCAAAATGTATTTATCCCACCTAGACCTAAAGGCAGGGATTATTCCATGTCAGTTTAAAAGCAGTGCAATTTTACAACACAAATACAGAAGCCCTTTTTCTACAGCCATTTCCCTGACTCCATCCACACCACAGACCCAGTCCTCGCTGCTACGTGTAGCTGGGAAGTACGTTCTTGTGAAGGAAAGGGCAACTATAAAGCCCTTAACTACACACGTGTTGTATGCAAAAAGCAGCCTCAAGAGACAACTTTCACGCACAGAGAAAGGAGTTCAATCCACTTAAAATAAAGATTACTTTGCAGCTGTCTCCTGACAACTCTATGAAACGGTCTCCAGCCCAGCAGCCCATCTGCCATATTCAACATTTCCTTTGAAAAGAACCAGAAAAGCTGAACTGTGGTTATGTTTGCTGTAGCACAGCAAAACAGGCTGGTCCAGGACTGGCAAAATTAACTCAACTTCCAGCATTTTTCATTTATGCATATTCCAGAACATCTAATACAAACGTGACTGCTACACCCTGCCCTTCAGTGGGGACATAAATTTGCATCTCCTTCTCCTAACTGGTTGCCTATTCTTTCAAAACTTACAGGTTGTTAATATTTTAGAGATCTCTACCATTTCTGTCAGTTGTAGCTGAAACTCATAAGGGCTTGAAAAGTTATTTGAAGGAGAGAGGACAGGTATATGTATACAAACTTCTTCACCACAGTGAAAAAATGTCACACAGAAGGGAGGACAGAAACACAAAAACATCTTCTAACAATAACTAGATCCACAAAAGACTATCACAGGCTTAAACTTTCAGTGAAAGTCAACAGTTTAGTTTCCTAAAGACCTCTGTGGATCAGCCCCATAAATTTCAGGCATCAACGATACAGTCCCACAACCACTGCTTAGCTCAGGGGATGCTACAGCACCGTACCTGTCTGCTACATCCATATCCCCTTCAATCTTGTTGAGTCCTCTCATGATGTTATCAAACTGCTCGCCCTGGTAATGCAGCACTTTTGCTGTGTCCTCCAGTCGTTTCTGTGATCCCATCAATAACCCGGTCAGTTCTTTTCCCTTTGTTGACTGCAAAGCTGCTGCTTCTGCTCCAGCACCTTGGCTTGACAGCAGCTGCTCCCTCCAGAAGTGCTCAAGGATGTTGAACACCACATTTCTGTTGGGTTGCAGAGAACTGAACCAATGCTTGGTGTTCCTCTCTAAGATGGTAAGGGAGCTGAAGATTAAATTTGAAGATTCCTTCTTGATCTCGCTGATACTAGAAAGATGGAAGTTGACCAGAAGTTCCCCAGTCTTGTCAGCTGTAAATTTGATCGCAACAGGAGTCAGCGAGAGTCTGCCAGAGACCCATTGTTTGCTGGTGTCCAAGTAGTAAGAACAAGGCCAGGTATGGATACGTATGTCTTCGTTCATCAGCTCGCCGTTCAGATCCTCTTCCACAAGAGCAATGCTCTCAAAACCAGAAGGAGAAACTAGAATAAAAGAGAAATAAAAAAAAAAAAATAATAAAAAAAAAAGAATCCTTAGCAATCTATAAAAGCTGACATTAAAACACACTCATAAATAATTAATCCCATCCACAGCTGGCTTCACGTACTTTCACTGTAACCTTTCAGGTGTGTACCCAAGACAGATTTGGAAATAGCTGCAGATGGGTTACAAAATTTGGCAACCATTTCTAACTATCTGAACATTTCCCTCACCCTTTCTGAACAGGACTGTCAAAATTATTGCCCACTCCATAAGAACGTTGCCTCCCCTTTTTATAATGTTCTCACCATGTTTCAGCACGTGATTTATGACAGCACAAACTTCAAAATACTATTGCATTAATGTCCTGGATATTTAATACCTGCTGTGCTCTAAGTGGTTTGGGCAGGGGAGGCGCTTTATAATAAGTCTATATGTTCACATGCATACGTTCATGGTTTTGGGTGGAGGTAAACCTACAAAGAACAGAACCATGAAAATCTTTTAATAACTTTCACGTACCCCCTTTTACTGAAACGTGATCATGTGAAAAGTTTTCCATTCACCACCCATCATCATAAGCAACTTCCCATAGACCAACAGATACTGAAGAAAATTCAGAGTATATCAAAATGCAAGCTTGTAAATATGTATCTACAACAACCACAATAAATAGCTGGTCCTTCCCCTTTTGCTCTGAGCTATCAACACCCAGATATAGTGCAAACACACCTAGAACATCTATCCAACATATTCAGCAGTGCAGCTGAAACCACATCCACCACTGGCTGGACCTCACAATCATTAAAGAGCTGAAACACCCAGCCAGAAATGGATAAATACTCTTCAGAAATCACAACTATCTCAGACCACCAGCCTTGGTCTCAGGAGAGACTTGCAGAAATACTTGCCTTACAAAACTCTCGAACTTCTGGTAGAACAACACAGCCAAAAGAACCCCACCCAAATCTGTAGTATGTCTTCTGTGAAATATTCGTTATTTCTCAGCTACTATCAAAGGTGTTTGGAAATAGGAGCCTGGGAAGAACTGAAAACAACTTAGCAGTGCTGCTGGGAACCCCAGACTGACCCAAGTGGAAGTTAAGAGAAGAAAGATGCCACAGTGGTATCGGAAGGGGTGCTGCTGGCCTGGTACGTAGAGCAACTCCGCAGATACAACAGCAGAGCAAGCAGGAGCAGAACCGGCAGAGGCTTAAAAAGAGCCAGCAGAACCAACTCTGTTCAGCTCAGCGAGAAGGGACAGAACGTTCAGGGCAATGGTGATTTCATTGCACCTCTGTGACAGGCCACGTTTCCCTTGGGGCCCGTGACGCTATTTGATGACATAATATTAATCCTAGAATACTCGCTCACCGGTATCTGGAATCCCAGCAAGGAAACACAGAGCTGTCACGTGCCTCAGGCCTGGCTTGCTTACATCAAAACAATCTTAAAATTTGGAACGGTAAATTAAATGAAACACATCTGGAGTGGCATCTCTCCACACTTGCAAAGACCCATGTGTCAGATTGTTTTCTGCAACATCTTCACAACGCCCCCATTTCCAGCACGTACACCGAAGACCAATTACGTTGCACAACTAAGTTCTTTGTGAACACCTATTATATAATGGTGATTTAATTACTTACATATTCATTATCTTCTCAAAGCCTCTGATGTATCATAGCGTAATTTACAGATTAGTACCGTAAACATTATCTCAAGGTGTTCTGCTACTTGTCTGGCACAATACACGAAAAGAGCTCCACCACAAAATCCCCAGTTAAGTGAGACGCTGACACTAATTACACCGTTTTACTTCAGTACAATCCGTGCCCCTGAAGGAAATCTCTAGGAATCCTAATGCAAATAGAAAAGGCTAACAGTCCTTTTTCAGGTAGCACTGGTGTGAATTCCTCTAGCACACGCTAACGATCTCCACGTGCCTTCAGTCTGCTGCATCATTAATATCCCTTAAATAGAGTTCTCCAACTCCGCGTCCAGTTCCAATGACTTCTTCTATTAAATATGTATTCAAAACTTCAGTATTACTGAGATAACAACTACTCACGGTATGTCACGTTCCATAAAAATCTTTTGATTTTCATACCTTACTTACAAAGCAGCTGGAGTTTGAAGCTAAACTTCTCAATCCGTTTAGTCCTAATACAACTGCAACCCAGGGAGAAGTCTTCTCTCTCTGCAGTTTACTATGGGCCGAAGGGAGGGGGGAAAAGCCCATAAAAACCTGATTTAAGTGAGTAGCTATAGCCCACAAAACAATGACAAGTTCTAGGAAATCTGACTTCTAACAGCTTTATCAATCCTCTGCTACATAAACTCAGAATTTGGAGAAAAAGCTAAAAACTCATTTCCTCCACCTGGAAAGGGAAAAGGTGCGTTCCTCTAATGCAGCGAGGTTAGAGCAGACAGATCTGATAAAGAGAACAGGTTTTTTTTCCAGACTGACTGGGCTTTGTGAGTAGCCAATGATTCTAATTTCTATTTAAAAGTTATTTTCTTTCTGACATACAGAATAAAAGAAAATTATTCACAAGGAAACTGAGAGAAGAAAAGTACTATTTAACCATCAGTCAAATGGGACTGCAAAGAAACAAAACATCAGCAGTGGGATCCCCGAGCAGGCTTTTACAGGATAATTTAAGTGGAGAAGGTTTCTAATATGGATACACAATTCTGCGCTAATAACGGTATGCTTTCTTCTACCACCACTGACAACTACACCAGTTTAAAACAACAGCCTAAGTTACATTAGTGCTGAAATCAATGCCAGTTGAAACTAAATCACGTTATAGCTTGATTAATGAGGAATGACAAATTACAGATCCAGATTCGGTTTAAATGTTTGAAACTGCCTAGGCTTGAAGTAAATACGATAGTAAACAGACTATAAACAAAAATAAACATCTTTTATTACACCCTCAAACTCCTCATACCCTATAGGTATTGGGAAGGAAAATTTACTGAAAGAGCTGCCGGCAGACCCAGAGGGGGAAAAAAAAAATAATAATTTTAAAAGTCCATCAGCAGCCTCCCCGTCTCTCAAACCAGGGCGTCAAATTCAGGAATGGAATAGATCCCAGCTCATACAAAGAAGCTGACATCCCTTTCCCCCAGCCAGTACAAACCTCTGCTACTTTTACCAGTTTCTGAAAATCTCAGCAATGTATGAACACTGCTCACAACAAGCAGCTGCCCTGAGATGTTGTTTTCTAAATAATATATATAAATAATGATGAAACCGAGACACTGAAAGATTATACGCCTTGCAAAAGATCACAAGGGAACCCTGGAACCAAACACGGGTTTCTCAATGCTCACTGCTGGGACACGCACCGCAGAACGTAATGTCATCCGAAAAACAACCCCTAATCCTTGCTAACAGCAACAGCCACCTCCAACCAGGCACAGCGGTACCAGGGAGGCCAGGAGAAACTGTAAACAAGCAAATGACTCTCAAACTTTCGTAAAACCTCAGCCTAGAGCCCATTTCACACACCACAAGTTCTCTCCAACCACCACAAGCTCCCCATCAAGACAGCATTTTCTCTCAAGCCTGCTCTCTACCGTTAAAGTTGTGAAAACGTTAACGTCTGATGCAGTCTCACAACTGTGTCATTAAAAGAAAAAGATCTTCCTAAACCATTTCTCAAGCTCCTTACCTCTAGCTGTAGACACAGAACTCTCAGGCAGCCTTTTGGGGGCTGCTGTCATTACAGAACTGTCCATCTGTAGGTAGAATCTTTTTCCTGAGTGTCTCTTCGTCTTCAAAGTCCAAAAGAGCAGGTAAAAAAACCAAAAGCTAACGCAAAAAATTGTACTATGCCCGTTACCACAAGGAAAATAGATAAAGAACAGAGAACATATATTTAAACCTGGATCGAAGAGTAAAACAAGTCCTCCCAGTCCAGGAGAAGAAATGAGGCAGTCACTTGACCCATGTATATACACATGTACATGCCGTGGGTCATATGACTTTTGACTCACCTGAGAGCTCAAAGGCTTTGCCTGATAGTCAGCTCCTTTCTGTGCCCGAGGCCAGATTTTCCAAGCAAAACCCTATTTGGTAGTTAAATCCATTCATTTTTCCAGCACATTTTTCCCCAATATAATGGCATTTTAATTAGCGACAGATCTGCAACATTGTAAAAATATAGATATATGTAAGGAAAACCAAGATTGATTTTATTCAACAATGAAAACAGCCATCAATGGTACAGAACACAGCTACTATTTATGAACATTCACCAGCATACTATAATTTAACACAAGGCTTCAAGGAGTTGGATTAAAATACATGAGAAATTTTACCAATGTTGAAGAAACAAAAGAAGAAACGGTCACAACTATTAGAAGTTAGCTGGAAAAAGGCATTAAATATGTACTTCACCCATGACACTCATGGATTGTGTCGTACAATGTCAGGCTTTAACCTGTGATTACAGTTTTTGAGCAGCTAAAACCCGTCGTTATCCTATTACTTTTGTAACTCTATTCTCCTCGAATCAATATTAATGAAACTTCTTGGTCTCATCTACTGGCAGCACTTTGCCTTTTATAGAAGAGAAACTTGCCTCTGCTTCTCTCTTATTAGCTTGCACAGCACCTACAGAGAGGATGCCTCACCATACTTGAGCTCTCCAAGCAATGTTCACTATACCAACTTCATCTCTGATGTAAACAGTGAGCTCACCACTGAAGACCAAATAGCTCAGCTACTGTCCTTCAGAATTAAAGATTTTCCCCCCCCACCTCCCATATTTCCTAAACTTTTGACAACCACACTTCAGAAACGCTGAGCTAGAGGCCTTCTGCCACTTACACAGCTGGTTTACTACACGGAATTACTACTCAAAATTCAGAATCTCTCTCCTCTCCTCCTCCCATGACTTTGTTTTCACCCCCCCTCTTGAAGTTCAGCATTATGTCACTCCCATTCTACTCCTCCTAAAACACGGCTAGAAGTTCCTTGTATAAAGAGACACGGAATACCCATCGTTTTGTAAAACACACTGAAAAAAGCCTTACCTGCAATAAAACGTACCATTCCAGTACTCCCACCCAGAAAACAAACAAAAAAAGACCAAACAAAAAGAAAAAAAAACACCCAAACCAATAACGAACAGATACAAGTCCTTTAGAATACCATGCAAAGAACTCAGCTGGCAGGGAAAAACAAAACAAAACTTGAAGTTACTTTAAATTATTTTAAATTAACTGGAGAACTTTTGGTCAACTTTAAACTACTTGTAAATACAGTCAAGAACAGGTTCATAAACTTGAGAGGGTTACACTTCCCTGTATGCAGTGGAAGAGGAAGAGACATCTAAATGGTTTCACAACAAATTCCTTCCTAATTTTTAAAGAAACCTGTGTTTGCTACAGAAGGGATGACACAAGCAGCCTCTCCCCATCTGGGCTCCCCAACATCAACACATTATCCACATCCTGTAAATCACCTCTTTAGCAAACTGTTTGCCTCTTGCCCCCAAACCGAGCACGGTATCCTACACAGCTACACACAGCAGCACAGAGCAAGAACTGGGATTAGCAGCAAGGAGATCCAGATTATATTTCCGGCAGCATCACCACAACATTGCATAAATTCTTTAGCTAACACATAACTCCGTGCCTCCTTCTATAAAAAGGAGGTGACTCACCTTCTCTTGCGAAGTGCCTTGAGATCACTCAATGAAATGTAAGCATTACTAATTACCCCAGGTGCGAGGAGATGCTCATACCCTGGGAGAAGGTGCTGTCAGCTCACGAGCAGAACGCTGTCCCTTTGCAATGCGTCTACCTCAGAGCCTCCAAAACTTAGTCACAGATTCTTCACCTCTGCCCTTGCTAATTATCCGCAGAACATTTCTGCATACATTTCTAATGTGTTGGTGTTTCTTTACTTTTTGTCCTCCTCCAGGTTTCCATAGGGTCACTATCTTTGGCGGGTTGTTCCCAAAGCTACCATCTGGCAAATGGATGACTTTAACCCTCAAAATAAAAATGTTTATTAGGCCTATCAAGTGACTCTCCCCTCTTTTTTAACTAAAGGCCTAAGATGCAGTTCCACCAGGTTTCTAACTCTACAATTCTCAAAATAATGCTACAAGACACAAAGTACTCAGACCCTCCAAGGGGCGCAACAGCCACAGACACACAGTACCTCTCTACTACTACAGAGGTACAACTACTACCTTGCTACACAAGAGAAATTCAGCTCCCCTTGTCTCAAAGGATCAACAGATCCCCACTAAAGAACAGCTTCAGACTGAGGGCCTTCTCCACATCAACACATTTCCATCCTTCTACAGAAAAAAACATTTTGATCCCACTCCATTTCTGATACAAAGCAACTTGATAGCAGACCAAAGTCCCACCAACATCTCCCAAATACATTTAAGTATGGGACTGCCTCTGTTCCCACCTTTTAACCCACACCAGCCCCTACAGCAGCCAGGTTAAACCTCATCAGCCTTCCTTTCAATCCTGACCCTGCCTCAACCTCTCCAACCCAAACCACAAGACACGCCAAAGCTTCCCAAACCTTGCTCCCCTGCCTTCCCAGGGTGCCCTGCCCCACCTCAGGAGTGAACCTGCCTCTGCCCCCCTTCTTTCCTCCCACAACTCACTCCCTTCTCTTTCCCCAATGACATTCCCAAGACTCGCTATCCGTTTCCTTACCCCAAGCTACACAATAAACATTTCCATCCCTTTCTCTTTCTTCTTCCCAGTACAAAGACAGTTTTCCTCCCCCTCACCCCAAGCACAACACGATCACCTGCTACATCACATCTTTCCCCAGTTCCTGTCCTCTTCCCAATACCAGAAGAGACACATTCTTTCTCTAGTCCTACTAGGGAAAGCCCTAGGTCAGTTACCCGAAATCCTCTTCTCTCCTTCACTGCCAGGCCAGGCTCCATCACAATCATCATCCCTCCCTCTGCCACAGCTCTAGGGCAAACTGATCTCTAGAGCTCTCTGATCTCTCTCCCTGGTGTCCAGTGACAGGATGCATGTGAACGGTTCAAAGCTGCACCACGGGGGCTTTAGACTGGACGTTAGGAAGCATTTACCTATCAAACAAGGCGGTCAAACCCTGAAACACGCTCGCTAGAGAGGTGGTTGATGCCCCAAGCCTATCCGTGTTTAAGAGGCATTTGGATAACACCCTTAACAACATGCTTTAACTTGGTCAGCCCTGAACTGGTCAGACCATTGGACTAGATAAACGCTGTAGGTTCTGTCCAGCTGAAATAGTCTATATTCTGTTCAATCCCCCCATTTCCCCAAGGCCAGACCCATCTCCCACCTTTGTATCTCTCCTCCCCCTATAGTCAGATATCCAAATCCCTATTCCCATAACTCACACAGAATCACACAGAATAGCCGGGGTTGGAAGGGACCTCAGGAGCTCACCCAGTCCCACCCCCTGCTCAAGCAGGCTCACCCAGAGCAGGGGGCACAGGACAGCGTCCAGGCGGGGGTTGAAGATCTCCAGAGAAGGAGACTCCACAGCCCCCCTGGGCAGCCTGGGCCAGGGCTCAGGCACCCTCACAGTCAACAAGTTCTTCCTGATGTCCAACTGGAACCTCTTCTGCTTCAGTTTGTGCCCATGGCCCCTTGTCCTGGCGCTGGGCACCACTGAGAAGAGTCTGGCTCAATCCTTGTGACACCCACCCTTAAGATATTTGTATGTGTTGATGAGGTCCCCTCTCAGCCTTGTCTTCTTCAGGCTGAACAAGCCCAGCTCCCTCAGCCTTTCCTCATAGGGGAGGTGCTCCAGTCCCTTTATCATCCTGGTTGCTCTCCTCTGGACTCTTTTTAGGAGTTCCTCATCTTTCTTGCACTGGGGATCCCAGAACTGGACCCAGTGCTCCAGGTGGGGTCTCCCCAGGGCAGGGTAGAGGGGGAGGAGAACCTCCCTCGCCCTGCTGGCCACGCTCCTCTTGATGCACCCCAGGATGCCATTGGCCTTCTTGGCACCAAGGGCACCCTGCTGGCTCATGGTCAGCCTGTCTTCCCCCAGGACCCCCAGGTCCCTCTGGGCAGAGCTGCTTCCCAGCAGGTCAGCCCCAGCCTGCACTGGTGCCTGGGGTTTGATCTCCCCACGGGCAGCACCGACACTTGCCCTTGTTGAACTTCACCAGGTTCCTCTCCGCCCAACTCTCCAGCCTGCCCAGGTTCACACACACACTCCAACCCAGACCCCCACTCCTCCCCCTAGGCCAACCCCCAACCTCTCCATCCTCATCCTCCTCGCAGGCTTAGGCCAAACCACCCTTCCTACAGCCCTCCCCGGATACCACCAACCTCCACCTGTCCCCTAAATCCCGGCT